CCTGTATCTTTATTTATTATTAACACGTTATTAATATCAATAGGACAACACGAGGCCGAAGGCATCAATCGATGAACAGGAAAAGACATCGCACTTCAAAAGACCGAACCTGAAAGTGAGGTAAGAAGGAGAACGATGGCTTCAGCGTTAAGAGGCAGAACGGCTAAGGGGGTTAAGGGTGGGGGGTTTAAGGTGGGGTTTGGGATTTGGGGTTTAGGGTTAAGGTTTTGGGGTTGGGGGCTAAGTTTATCTCCTCAGGGAATTCTTGGATCCGAAAATGAGGGTTTTCAATGTTTTCCACCCCGCCGAACATAAAAATAAAGTTCTTTTCAAAATCTGAGCTCTGCAATAAAAGTTGTGTTTTCTGGCTGAAATGGGTTAGGGTTTGGGGTTTAGGTTAGGGGTTAGGGGTAGGGGGTCAGCCCCTCTTCCGAATCTCTCTGCCTCTCTGCTTATCTCTCTGCCTATCGCTCACCAGCCAGACTAGGAGGAGGGGCCAGCAGAGGAAGGGGGAAAGGGCGGAGAAGGAGGGGGCATTGGGACCGCTCCCCATTCCGATCCCATTGGCTGATGCCCGGCCAGGGGAGCAGGCGGGAAGCTCTAGGGCCAGGAGAGCTTCCCCGCCGTGGGTTGCCTTCTATTGTCTCACGGTCGCTCCGCTCAGCGCGGGGAAACTCGCCCGTTTCTAGCGGCACTTCTCGGGGAGCGACTGTGGCCGAGCGGTGCGAGCTGGGACCGGCGGGAAGGGTCTCCGCTTTCCCCGGCCTTTGCGCCTGGATTCCCTCCGCGGGATGGGGACGCGGCTGCTCCTCGGGGCTCTGAGCGCGCTGCTTTGTTCCGCCGCTGCCGGAGAAGCTCGCGGGCCGCGGAGCTGCGCGGAGACCCGGCGGGCGCTTGCGAGCCGCGGCTTCTCACTCGCTTCGGTCCCGCCCACCCTTAGCTCGGGTAAGGGCATTCGGCCGGAGAGCCTCTCCGAAGGCGCCGGGACCGAAGTTTCCTGGGCGTCCCTGGCAGACTCCGCCTGTCCCGCTCCAGGGCCGGCAGGGGCGCTTGGCGAGTCTTCGGTGAAGGGAAATCCTTTCTAACCGTGCCGTTCACATCGGACGGACTCTGCCTGGGGCGGGGGGCTTTGAAGAAACCCCGGTCCTCTCTTGGGCCACTTGCCCTCCCACCATTACCCCCCCCCCCCCCCCTGCAGGCCCCCGGGAAGAGGAAGGGAATGGGGAAACGTTTGCCCAGGGGGGGGCCGGGGGGGGGGCCGGGCGCTTCCCTTGCCCCCCCCCCCCCCCCCGCTGGCTTCCTCCCAGAGGCTAATCCGAGGGGTAACAGATCCGCCCGGACCCTCCCCTTGAATGCCCGCAGGGGAGCACCTTCGCATCTGCCCCCAGGACTACACCTGCTGCGCCAGCGAGACGGAGGAGCGGCTCAGCGAGCAAGGGCAGGCGGACCTCCGGGCGTTGTTGGGTGAGACGGGCGCCTTCTCGATCCGCACGCTGAACTCTCGCCAGCAGCGCTTTCAGGGTGAGCGAGGGGAGCCCCCCCCCCCCCACACCTCTGGCCCTCTTTTCCCAGCCGGCTGCTCTCTTTCCTTTTCCCTCTCACTTCCTCACACCGCATCCCCAACAGAACATAGAGACCGAGAGGGCTGGAAGGGATCCCGTCCAGTCTCTTCCCGAGACCCTCCAGAGATGGAGCAGCCCGAGTTTCCTGAGGCCAGCCTTTCCACCCCACTCTTCTCCCTGTCAGAAAGTTCCTCCTTCCTTTCGGGTTGGCTCTCTCTCTTTCCACCCATTGCTGCTTGTCCTGCCTTCAGGTGCATCGGAGACCCAGGCAACCCGTCGTCCCCTTCTCCTCACATACAAACCGTGACGCCACCTGGGGTCACTTCTCCACCTGACTCCACCCCAGGATTTCAGTCAGCAGCCCTCGCTGCTGGCACTGCCTGTTGGGCAGCCTCTCCCGCAAATGTGGGAAAGGAGACGGCAGCCACCCAGGACTCTCCCGTCATCGCGCTGCTCAAGTTTCCTAAGGCTCCGCTTCATCGTACTCTCCTCGGGGTTTGTTCTCCCACTTCCAGACTTTTTTCAAGAGCTTCTTGCTGGAGCTGAGCGGTCCCTCCAGGCCGTGTTTGCCCGTTCCTATGGGCGCCTGTATGTGCAGCATGCCTGCCTCTTTGTGGAGTTGCACCATCACCTTAAGGGGCCTCAGCCCAGCCTAGATGAGGCCCTGAGTGGCTTCTGGTCTCAGCTTTTGGAGCAAATACTGCCTCTGCTTAATCCCCAGTATAGCTTCCCAGAAGGGTACCTGGAGTGTGTGGGGTGCCAGGTGGAAAGCCTCCATGCCTTTGGAGACAGCCCCCACCAGCTCCGGGTGCAGGTGAGCCCTGCTGCTCCTGCCAGAACAGCACAGAGAGAGAGGAGAGAGAGAGGGAAAAAGAGAGAGAGAGAGGAGAGAGAGAGAGAGAGAGGAGAGAAAGAGGGAAAGAAAGAGAGAGGAGAGAGAGGGGGGGAGAAAGAAAGAGAGAGAAAGGGAGAGAGGAGAGGGAAAAAGAGAGAGGAGGGGGAGAGAGAGAGAAGGAGAGAGAGGGGGAAAGAAAAAAAAGGAGAGAGGGAGAGAGAGAGGAGAGAGGGAAAAAGGAGGGGGAGAGAGAGAGAAAGAGAGAGGAGAGAGAGGGAAAGAAAAAAAGAGAGGAGAGAGAAAGAGAGGGGAGAGGGGGAAAGAAAGAGAGAGAGAGGGAAAGAAAGAGGAGAGGAGAGAGAGGGAAAAAGAGAGAGGAGGGGGAGAGAGAGAGAAAGAGGAGAGAGAGGGAAAGAAAAAAAGGGGGGGGGGGGGGGGGGGAAAGAAAAAAAGAGAGAAAGAGAGGGAGAGGGAGGGAGGCAGAGTCACAAGGGGAAGGAGTTGGGGCACCTTTTTCCCTCGTTGCCCACCTTCTGCCTCGTCACATGGAGTCGCAGCCTATAAGCTAAGCTGTGTGGAGCCTTCCTTCCAGCCAACATTGGAAATTACCCTAGGAGAGGTGAGAGCCCCCCCCCCCCCTAACAGCCATGCCTTCCCCAGGATTAACTCTCACCCAACCAGGTAACCCTTGATGCTTTCAAAACAATCCCTTGCCAACAAAAGAGAGAGGTGATCTCTAGGGTGCCTCGATTCCATCACTACCCCCAAAAAAACCTCCCCTCTTTGGTCCCTGGCTGGTCTTCTAGCCAGGCACTGGGCCAGCTCAATTGTGGCCATTGTCCATTACTGCTATTGCTATTCCCTCAGTAGCAAAAGAGACAAGAAACTTGAAAGGTTGTCCCTGCCCACTCTGGGGCACAGGCATGCCAGGGAGTTTTGACTTTCTGATATATCCCAGTTAGGGTGTAGCTGAAGTACTGGCTAAAAGTTCCTGTGCCCTTTTGAATTGTCAATATTTCTGCATAAATATGACCTAAACTGTCATCAGTTTTCCACAGGTCCTAAAACTAGATGAAAAGAATGAATTTGTTGGATGGGCACTCTTTATTTAGTTTTAGGACTTGTGTGTAACATTGATCACATTTTAGATCCCATTTCTAAGGGAAAAAAATGACAATTCCCAAGGGTGCACAAACATTTAAGCGCCCTTGTGGAGTTGCACCCCCTACAAAAAATCTGCGGGTGGGCATGGCTCCTCTGACGTCTGGGGCCAGTTTCTGTTCCCCCCAGGGGTCTCGGGCTTTCCTTGCTGCTAGTTTGGAAAGAAACAGTCACCAGCCACAACTTCCAAGAGAAAACAATGGTGATTTTATTCACTGCTTTGCAAAGAGGGTGGACCAGGCACACACAGGTACCGTGGACACGCCCTAAATCATCCATACATTTGCCTTATATTCTGTCTAGGGCCTTTACAAATTTACCTCCCACCTTTTCCTCGTTGGCTTAGTATTCATGCTGTCACAGACTTAAGCGGAGGCTTTGAAGAACAAAATCTAACTTTTATTGATCAATAAAACGGTAAGACCTCTCCTCGCGTACGCACAGATAAGTGAGGAAAGTTACAAACCGTATAGATTGTGGTGGTCTGGCATTCGAAATGAGACACAGGGAAAATGTCTGAGAAAATGCCAGCCCTGAGCGAACTCAGGCAGCAGTATTTATTGAGGAAAAAGTAAGCAAAAGTACAGTATGCATATTCAGAAAACAATGACCTCAACAGGATGTTACCTCAACAACATGAGAACATACAGATACGGAAAGTCCCATGGGAAAGTCTGGAAAGTCCCATGAGAAAGCACAACTGTGTACCTTGAACTTTTACCTATTTTCCTGTTCCTTCTAAACCTGCAGACCATAACAGGATGAGACACTCATTAGCAAAGGTACTCCTACCCCCACCAAGAATGCCTGCATATCCCTAGATCTATGCTAATAGTTGTACAAAGGACTTACAGAAAATGATCAATAAAATATGTTACCACATAGATAAAAGCAACTCTTCTGATATCTTAAGATTCTTTTAGAAGTAGAGTAACTACACTGTAAAACGCTCTAATTATTACATCTTTCCTGCAAAAAGACAAATGTCCTTCTGGCACTTGTTTATCTTTCGTTATCCCTTCTCCTATTGTCTGTTAATTGATTACTTAAGACGGCTATTGACAATGTACTTCAAAAGTGATTATTCCTTCAGATCTAGGGAGTTCCGGGGTATGTACATTTTATGGGGGGGGGGGGGGGGGGGGGGGTGCAACTTAAACCAGATGGATTGAGATTCATTTAGATGGGATAATCATGTGTCTTCATATGAAAGCGATGTAACTAATTGCAAGCTAGTTTTACAACACGTGAAAGGTTAGAGAAATATTTTCCACAACAGCAACGTAAGAAATACCCATAGACATAAATACTTCTATATACATAGGAAAACAACTGCTTAACATCAAGATAAGACATGCCTATAGAGAAACTCTCTACTTAATGCTATATTTTATTTCTTTCCTTTATTTATTACCCTAACAGTCATCTTGGCCGCTAAATGCCTGACTGTGTCTCTTTCCCAAAAGGCAGGCTGGTGGGACGTCTTCTCGGCAGGACTCCACCTGCATCAGTCCAACGGCCCGGTTCTAGAAAGAGGCAGAAACGGCGGTTATATGGGCAGACTTTTTCTCCAAAAGACAAAGAAGCCACTGAAGTTGCCCCTGTGTGTTTGGCAAAACGGTGCCAACGCAATGGGACCCAAAATAATGGAACCCGCCCTGCGTTTCGTTCTACAAACCTGCCCATCCGCCTGTCTCTTCTCCTCTCTTTCAGTTTTGGATTCTGCTGCTGCTGCTTACAAGGCCCCCTCACGTGTCCTTTGCCAATCTCTCCCTCTGGCCAGGAACCGAAGCCTCCGCCCCGTAGGAACGGGGCCTTCTCTGCAGGGCTACCGGACTCTGTGTCAAGACCCTGGAGAGCAGCTCTTTCCCAGACTCTCGGAGGACTAAAGAATAGGGGGATGGTTCTGTCTCTTGGACCGAGCTTCAACTTCTCCAGACTCTTAACTGGAACTCATTTCAATGGCATAATGTTGCTCGAGTTTTCACTTGCTATTATTTGTCTCAAACTAAGCGTCTTGATGGTTTAAAAACCAAAAGTACTGGGGTTGCTCTGTTAAAGCTGCTCTTAGGGTGAAATGGAAGGCAGCGATTGTTGTTAAGGGGATTTTCAAAGTTTAGGTTACGGCTATATTTATTGCTACACTTTGATTTAGTATGCTAAGATTTAGGGTGTAATCTATAGAGTTATTTCTAATTTTACACTTGGTACATTATTTTATATCTAGCCGGCTTTGGTTTCTTCTACCATCCCATACCTCCAACTGCCTAGGGCTGACCTTTTCTTTGGCTCCCAACCTTCCCCGGTCTTTCTAAAATGAAAAGGCTCAACCTCAGTGAAATTTCCCCCCAACCCCCAAAACACAAATCTCTCAAGGACAACCTATTTGTTTTCCCCGAGTTCCTTTGTAACAGCCAGGAGGGCAGAGCACCAGGAAGCACACCCTCCTTCCACTGCTTTGCCCCAAAGGCTGAAGCTCTCAGCTAGCAGGCCTTTTACAGGACTGGCCCCAATCAGGGAATGCAGCTGTGACTGGGAGAAATGAGCAGATTGCAAATCAGACTCTGCAAAGACTCAAGTTGCATATTGCCTCCACCTTTGGCCTCATGTTGTCCTATTAATATTAACAAGGTGTTAATAATTAAGATACAGGATAGTAGCCTAAAAAAACCATGAAAAGGGTTGTTTTTTCGGGCTGCTATTCCTTCTTGGACCACAGGAAGGCCCTGTTTTCCAATTCCAGGCTGCTACACAACAGGCACACGAGAAAGAATCCGGTTTCAAAAAATGCCATTGAAAAGGTATTTTTTTTCTGTGTGGCCGCAATACCGACTTTCACCACAGGAGGGCACAGTTTTCTGTCCCGTAGAAAGAGCACTGAAGTTTTCGTTCGCCTTTTTAACTCGGTTTAAGAAGCGGAACTCCTTCTCTCCCTGCGTTGCGGCCCCTGGTCCTCCTCTGCCCCTATTAATGTTAATAAGGATGCGTTTTATCATGGCGATATAGAATAATAAACTTAAAATCCTAGCGTGGCGAAAAAGTCGCTGCGCGAGGAAGTGGGGGGGGAGGGGGGAAGACTAAAAAGAACGGACTGGGAGTCGGCCGTCGTAGAAAGGTCGTTCTTCTCAGGCATGGGGGGGGGGAACGGGGGGACGGCCGCGCTGACGGACAAGTTCACCGTGCCGCAAAACTCGCCGCGAAAGGACGTTGGGGGGACGATTTAGAAGAAGGGACGGGAAGTCGGCCATGATGGGAAGGTCATGTTTCAAAGGCGGTAGGGGACGGCCACGGACAGGGGACAGGAAGTTCGCCTTGCCGCGGTGGTGGCCGAGAAAGGAAGTAGAAGGGACGACTTAGAGGAACGGACGGGAAGTCCGCCATGATGGGAAAGTCATTTTTCAAAGGCGGTAAGGGACGGACGTGGACGACGGACCGGAAGTTCTCCTTACCGAGAAGGTCGCTGTCAAAGGAAGTTGGGAGGACGACTAAGAAGGACGGACGGGAAGTCGGCCATGATGGGGTGGTCATTTTTCCAAAGGAGGTAGGGGACGGACGTTGACGACGGACCGGAAGTTCTTACCGAAGGTCGGAGCCAAAGGAAGTGGGGGGGG